TTATTTCTGCTTTGAATTTTTCTAGAGCCTCATTCATCTGTTTTGTTACTTCCTGTGCTATCAGTTCAGGGTGTCCAGGTGGTTCATTATCAGACTTTTCCACCACATTTCCCCCATAATTTGCCTTTTGTGAGGTGGAAGTCTGATTTTGTGCCTTGCTTAAATATCTTCTCATTTTTGTTTTTGGTACTGTCCTTGGTTTAGTTCCTGGGTTGATACTTTGAAGTTGCTTATTGTAAGTATCTTTGTTGATGTATTTAGAACCATTATGGAATGATTGCTTCTCAGAGGTGTCTTCCAGATATAGCTGGTCTTTAGGTTTTGAATCTCTAATGGCTCTGAGTCTATCTCATTTTCATTATACCAGGAAGGACAACTAATTAGATCAATCACAACACCTTAGCCCAAGTGATACAATCAGCAGCACCGTAGCATCAAGTACATCTTAGTAAATGACAATTTGTGGTAGTTATTAATCTATCACCTTTAACTGTGTGAATTAAATCAAAATCAAGGACCAACCCAACATATGCTTATATTGGATAAACTCTTCAATATAGGAACTCAGGATGGGGAGTTAGAAGGAGTTGGGGAGGGAGGAATATGTAGGTAGAAGGATAGGGGAAGGTTAGCAGTGAGGCTAGAGAGCAGAGACAAGAGAAGGAAAGAGAAGAAAAGAGAAATAAAGAAGAAATATAAATTAAGGCCAGAACTGGAATACAAAGGGGAGATGAAGAACAGTGTGGGAAAGCAAGGGAGCAAGGCACAGAGACAGAGAGAAAGAAAATAGAAGAGAAAGAAAAATAAAAAATTTTAAAGAGTAGCAAAGAAAAAAATATAAAAAATAAGAGCAAAAAAAAATAGCGGTAATTTTGAAAATAACAAATAAAAAATACAAATGAAGGGCCTCCTACAGGGTATGTCTCTGCTGTGACAATAGATAACGTGGGGAGCAGTATGCAGTTATAAGTCAATGAGTCTCAGCAAGCTAGTCCCAGACCCGTGAGATTCAGCAGATTTCTGGCTGCAAGTCCTAAATTGAGCTCCCTGTCCTCCTGCAGGGTTGAGCTCTAAAAGGTTTTAGTTCAGGTTTCAGCTGACCTTCCCCTGAAGATAGTCCAGGTTCTGATGGAAGGTGAAGAGCCCTCTAACTTATCAAGCACTGTGGTCTGGTGTGCCTTTATTGCAGAGATTCTCTTCACTTTTCCAGTGGGCTTGTTTTCTTTCCAATTTTTTTTTTTTTTTTGGTATCAGGGATCGAACTCGGGTCCCTTTTGCTTGTGCAGCAGGCGGCGAAACCACTGAGCTAAATCCCCGGCCCAAGTGGGCTTGTTTTCTTCAGGGAACCTCAGAGAGGCCCTCTCTCTGTTGTTCACTTCTGCAGCTCAGGACAATGGCTTTTATGTCCTCCTGTGCCTTTGTAGTGCGGAACCAGGAAGCTGCACTGCCAAAAGGCCAGAGGGTGGTGTGGGGTGGTGTGGGGGCGGGACCTGTTGTTGGAGCCCCCCCCCCCCCCCAGGCCAAGCTGGGGGCTGGTCGGCGTGCCGGGAGGTGGGCGGGGAAGGCTCACCCTGTCTGGGTCTCAAGCTTCTCTGCATGGCAAGCTGTCCCAGGCGCAAGCTGGTGGAGCAAGCCAGAGGAAGCAGGTCCCAGTCAGCCTGCAACCTCTCGGCCCGGGCAGCCTTTAAGCTTCTTAAATCAACCTATAGACAGGTGTCATTACAACCCTGTGTTGAAGTGAGAGATAACCCAATAATCTAACAGAAGTCTCTTGAAAGAAATCCTTTTTTTTTTTTTTTGGTATCAGGGATCAAACTTGAGTCCTTGCACTTGCGGGCCAGGTGGCGGAACCACGGAGCTAAACCCCCGGCCCCTAAAGTAATACTCTTTACCAATATTCTTTCACCAGTCATACCTTTACAAACACTGGAGGTGGCAATAATCTATTCATACTGGGCTGCATCTGGCATCATCCCTTAGCAAATTGTGCATAAATATTTAGGCTTTTATAAATGTGTGGGCACTGAATGAACATAATTTGTTTTAACTTTAGAGATTCATGCAAGACTAAGACAACAGTATGATTTCCATTTTAACATTGTTTCATTTGAAATAGAAACACATCAGGATTCTTAGACAATATTATAGATAACAATTTTATTCCTTGTGTATATAGTGATTTAATGCATTAAATTTCTATTTTTAAAAATAGTCTTTGTGGGTCTGGGGATTTAGCTCGGTGGTTCCAGCTCCTGCCTCACAAGTCCAAGGTCCCAAGTTCGATCCCCAATATCAATAATAAAAAGCCTTTGTGTTATTTTTTCATTTATTGTATATCCTGTTAAGTTATGAGTTCTTGGAGAACATATGCAAGAGGTATAACCAATGAAAGAGTTGAGGGTAATTCAAGTGTAAAGAACTTTTCTTATGGTAAATTCTCAAAGAAGAGGTCCTTCCAATGCTGGCAGGGTAAGTAGCCTAGGGTTTCTCTCATGTTTACAATTTCCCTTAGTTTTATTTTTTGTCTAGAAGTATGAATAATACTTTACACATATTATGCTTTTTAAAATTGACATTCTTTAAAATATTCACAGTAAAAAAAATCAGTGTGAATTTAAAACTTCATAGGATCTTTTTAAAAACAACACCCTCAAAGTTAAATTGTTAACTTTTAAAAAAACAGCTTCAATTTCTTTTCATTTGCATTATAAAAGTTGAACTTAATGAACCACCAGTGGTATAAACTCATTAGAAGCTAGGTTGCCAATTAGCATCGTTTTTGGCTGTGCAAAGATAACCAAGCGTAGAAAAAGTTAAATAAATTTGACTTTAATGTAATTATGCTGGAGACTAATTTCATCAGATATTTATCAGATTTCCCCATGGATCTTCTGAAGTAGCAGCGTTAATATTGTTTTCCTAAGTATTCACCAGGGCCAACCTTTCCTTAGAAATATGCAAAGAAGGGCTCCTGCCAAGATTTTCCTCCTTGTTTCTCTTGTATATTCCTTCCCTCTACAAGCATAAAACCTCTCTTCTGGCAATGGTGATATTTGAAGTAAGTTTACTTGATGTTAATGCCACATTGACCAGCTCACATTGAAACTCCATTACAGTAACTGCCTGTTTGTAGAATCCCTTAATAATCCTAGTGAGATTAGGGAAAAAGGAATGTAATGTCAGATATACAACAGGGTAACACTAGAAATATGTCATCAAGTTAAGAACAGCCTTTAGTGTTACAGGTAGAATACTTTGCTCCAATTTGTTCTCCTTCTTACCTTTCCAGCATATCACAATGGTTTTCTCCACTTAGAAATGTGATTGGGTTCATTTGCACTGTAAAAAAAATTATGATCATTAGTCCAGGTATGGTGGTGCATGGCTGTAATTCCAGCACTCTGGGAGGCTGAGGCAGAAAGATTTCAAGGTTGAGTCCAATCTGGGGAATGTAGGGATTTACTGATACCCTGACACAAAACAAAAAATATAAAAGGGTGGTGGAATATAGCTCAGTGTAAAGGCCCTTGGTACTGGGTTTAGCAAACAAAAACAAAAACACAACCATTTTGTTTCTCACCATCTCATATATGTTGGTGTTCACATAGAATGCACAAGTTTTTCATGAAATAAGAGAAAATCTGGACATTTTAACTGGACAATTTAGATCATGGCACTGGTTTTCACTTACTGTCATGTTCATTCAAGTTTCTGAAAGTTGTTGATAAATCATCATTTAAGTATTTTCAAGTTTAGCTCTGACTGCAATGGACCTTAGGTTGTATAAAATAGATTCTTCCCTTGAGCAAGATTTTGTTCTTTTTTTGAAATATTTCTTACATATATTACTGACCCCTTTTATTCTTTATCAACCCCTTTTATTCTGTATCAAAGTTTCAAATAGAAAAACGTGATAAATTCTGCTATTGAGTTCAGTGTTCCAGTCCACAGGCATTTTACGCTAAGTTGTTCTGGAGTATGGAGATGGATGTTCTGGCTTCTCATTCATTTATTATGCTTTAATATAATGGACAAAATGAAATGTTGCTTTGACTTTGCCTTTTTGAAAATAAGCCAAGGGAAGGAAGGTGGGCAGAGAGGAAGGTGATTAACCTGGTAATTTCCAGTGATCCCATTCTGGAAGAAGGCAACATTTCAATGTTAGGTTTTTGTTCACTTTTGCAGATTATTTTAAATGCTTGTTCAGTACAGAAAATGGCTTTTAAAACTGTGCTTGAGTTTCTAACACAGATCGATGTGAGCTACGGGGGGAGGGGGCAGGATAGGAAAGATAAGAAACACTGATTTAGTTGCTACAAATAGCTTCTCACTTATCTCCCAGGGTATCATTGACCATCTCAGGGCCTGTAGCTGTTGATTACCATTTCATTTTGGATGTGTACAAGCCAGTTTTTGAGGAAATGGTGTGCTATGTGACCTAGTTTCATATTTTAGGGGAAAAGACAAACTGTAAATTATTTCACAAAGACATAAACATATCTCTGAGAAACAGAAGTAGATTCAAATACACCTTTCCCTGATTTTTTTTTTTTTGCTAAGTGCTATTTTGAATTTGTACTCATTATATCTGTCAGTCTGTTATACAACAGTTCTCAGGAAGTTCAAAAAATACTCTACTACACTCAGGTTAAATATTAGCAAAAAAATAAAAAGAAAACAACAAAAACCCATACTTTTCTCTTTCTTCAGATCCCCCATCCTTTGGAAAAAAATTCTTTGTCACTTCTTCCACCCCTTATTCCCACTTTGCTGTGGAATAGCAGCTGTGTTTAGCTTGTTGAATTTCAATAAGATATAACAGATGTTGAAAAGACCTATGTTAATAATAATAAAAAAGAAATAACCTATCTAGAATTTCTTTCCTCCAAATACAATTTCAATTCTTAACCAGTTGTAATTCAAGGATCCTGAATAAAAATAAAAAAGAAATTCCCAACAAGGTGAGCTGCTTATTATCTGCCTAAGGAAAAAAGAAACACTGTAGGTTGCACTGCAGGGTGGGTAGGAAAAAGGATACAATGACTATAAAAAGTTAATACAAATTTATCTTATATTCTTTCATAAAACAAGTAATGGAATCAGGAAGTATGTAGATTCATGGATAGATGTTTGTTTTTGAAGGCTGTTTGGAAAGTGGGTTAAAGTTTTGTGTTGTTGAGGTTTGGAAAGTTGGCCTTTAAGCCACATTTCTTATTGTTCATGAGTTGTCATGTGCCTGGCTGATTTCCTGTCCACTGACTTATGGAAAGAGCCAGATATTCTGTAAGACCAACTCAACCTTCCTTATTTGCTACTCCATTAGAGTAGAAAAGAAAGAAATTAACATGTAATGAATTCCTACTAAGTGTCAAGCATTAGTTAGATTAGTGCAATACTTCCTTATTTCATTTGCTATTGAAATCTATGCCAGAATAAACTGACACTGGGAAGGTTTCTCTTTGTAATGTTATAACAAAGCACCAGAGATTGGGTCTAAGTAACAGAGATTACTTTCTCACAGTTCTAGAGTCTGGGAAGTCCAAGATCCAGGCACTGGATGCTTGAGGTCTGGTGAAGTCTCACTCTTTGCTTCCTGGATAGTATGTCTTTCATGTTGCTCTACAGTGGAAGGGAAGAAGGGCTCTGCCCACATAACACAAGCATCTCCTGGAAGGCTCCACCCCTCAGTACCATCACATTAATGATACTAGTTAAATGAAAAAGAGATTTGGGGGCAAAACATTCACACCAAAGCAAAGGATGTCAAAGACTTGCCCAATCACCTAACACAATGTCCAAGTATCTAATTTCTAATCTTCCTCTCTCTGTTTTCTGAAAGGGAGATTGCACCATAGTAATCAAAGAATCAGCATGCAAGAAAGCTGCCCTAGCATGCTATTTGCAGGTTATGTACAGCCATTTGTGTGTTATGCTAGGCTTGCTAGTGTCTTTATTATTTCAGGGTTAATTTCAGGCAATGAATTATTCTAGTGCTCCATGTTGTGGTCCTTTTCTTAAAAAACAGTAATAATTTTTGTAAATTTTGCCATTTTATTTAACTATAAAATTTTCTGAAAACTGTAATACACAAATTCCTTCAAAATAAGTGTTTAAAAATTTAATATACTTGAAATTTTAAAGATTTGGTCATCTGTGTAGTTATATTTAGGTTTGATATAATTATATTCTGAGAAATCCAGCATGCATTGAAATAACTTTCCAACATATATTTTCCTCAGCTTTTACATTTTCCAAATATGTAAAAGATACTACTGTATAACTACAAGAACTAACAGTACCAACATATGGTAATGAATGCATGAGCTTATATTAAGAAAATTCTTATCTTACATACCAATCAGAAAACAAAGAATCAGACTGATTCAACATGCTCACATCTGGAAAACACACATGCCAAACACTTCCATTCAATGTTTCTTAATCCAGATGTTCAGTGACTACAACTTCCTTTTCCAATCTGCATCCATTTCCCACTAGGAGCAAAAGGCACCCAACACTGTTTCCAACTCCAGGTAAAATGTAGATACCATTGTGGTTCTTACTAGTGGCAAATTTATTAATCATTTGGTATCTCTTTATTAAGAAGTTAATTTTCACTTAAAAAGAGAAAAATATCTTTACTACTTTATAAATTGGTAACTAATGATTTAATCTGAATTTTCACGTAATACATGGGAGCATATCAACATAAACTTCATATTCACATTAGAAGAACAATGTCTTCTATACACCCAGGCTAACAAGTTCAGTTCTTTCTGGAAAACAATTAGGAACAATCTGTTGGAATTCATTTATCTTCTCTTCTTTCCTTGAAGAAAAGTTACAGTTCAGGACCTCTATGCTTTGGTTTGTTTGGGTTTTCCCATTCTCATCCCATTACTTGGGAACTGCTTCTGCATTCCTACTCCCAGTACCATCTTTCACTTCTTGAAGTCTTACTGTGGGTTTAGAGCTCCGGTTAGATCCCAACTCCTCCCCTAACCTTAGCTCTTTAAAAGCCACATGAATGTGTCTTTCTTTCCCACAGTATTTTTATGCCTCTCTTAGAACATTTAGCATTTTATTGCATTTTACAGTCATTTCTGTTCATATTTATCTCCTGCAGTAGAATTAAGTTTCTTGGGGATGTGATTTTGACTTGTCCAACATTCTATTATTGTAAATAGTATATTTTCAAAAAGATTGCTTCATGCATAATGATTGAGTTGTGTATTATTGCTGTTTTGTGTTTTGGGGGAATTAACCTATTCAGAATACAGACAATCATGCAAAAGGTGTACAGAACCATCATTTTGACTTAGATGGTCAGGAAATCTGAGCCTCTATTTCCCCAGATGCAATCACAGCTTTTCATTTTATTTTCTATTTTTCCGCCTTCACAAAGAACAATGGTAAACATGGGTTCCAGTTTCAACAAAACCAAGTGAATCTTACTCAATTTCATTGCACACATGGGTAAGAATGGAGGGTTAAGCTTGATTTCATCAACTTGGCTGGCTTGGGAGACACCCAGGAATTGGTGGAGCATATTTCTGGATGTGTCTGGTTGGGTTGTGGAGGTGTATCCTTGGCTGCTATATCTACTCCTTCTTCCCTTCCTCTACAGTGCTTCTCCCCTGCTCTGCTTCCCAGCCAATATGAACTAAGCTGCTTTGTTCCATGACACCCTTCCTCCTTGATGTTTTTGCCTTAGAGCCAGCAAACCACATTCTGAACCCTCTGAAACTGTGAGCTAAAGTAAACTCCTCTCCTTTAAGTTATGGGTATCAGGTATTGGGTCCCAGCAAAGAGGAAGGCTGGCTAATGCAGTAGGAAACTAATCCTGTGCAAAACTGGGCAGCTCATAATTAACTTTGAGATGAGGCTAAGGAGAAAGCAGTGATAGCAAAATTAGAAAATGCTCTACTGACTTGCTTCTCTCAAAATCTCATGTACAGGAGGTGTCAAGAAAAATCTCCAGTAATATAAGCAACTTTGAATCTTTGACTACTCAGTCTTTGCCTTCTATAATTTCTTTCCTTCCTTCTTTCTTTCTTTCTTTCTTTCTTTCTTTCTTTCTTTCTTTCTTTCTTTC